CAGGTATCAACTACCGGGGTACCGAACCAAGTGATTCAATCTCACTTGAGAGTTTCAACATGACTCTTGAAAAGGCACATAAGTACCACAACAAACTGGCAATAGATGAGATTGTGGGGTGTTTTTGTGTTGGTTCCTAGAAGCATTGATCACCGGGAAGTCATATTCTATAGACGGTCCAAGCGGTACATGGGCTATGTCATATCGTAAACGACTTGCGGAAATATTTTGAAGTACAAGGAATAAGATGATTTGAACATTGTAATATCAATTCAAACAAATCCCTTTAGTTTATAATTTTATTTGGTTTTTGTTGATTTTAAGATTATCAATTGCATTTTATTTAATATATAAACAAAACTTCTACAAAAAAACACATTTACACAAATAACAATTAAAAAAAAAAACTTTCCTGAATCATACTCTAGTATTTCGGAGGCCTTCCGGAATCTAACCATTAAAAAAACGAAAAAAAAAATGTTCTGGAACCATGGTTCGGAATCGTACTCCGAAATTCTGGAGACCTCTCCGAAACAATGTGTTCTGAAAAATATGGTTACTTTACAAAAAAAAAATGGGTTATTTTTATCAAAAAAAAATTTATTTATATGGGTTAGATTACTCAATTTTCCTATTAATAAAATATTCATTGTTTTCATGTAATTTAGCAAAAATAGATACTGAAATATATTAATAATGAAAGTAGGGTTAATGACCTAAAAATGTAACGGACTTTAGTCTTTGTCCACATTCAGGTAACCATGTTTTTTTCGTTCATATTTGACAATTAAACTTGTTTGACCTGTTCAAAATAGGGTAATATGACTGGTAATTACGGTAATATTATCCTATTATGAACATGTCAAATAAGTTTATTGGTCAAATGTATACAAAAAAAAACATGGTTACCTAAATATGGACAAAAACCAAAGTTTCTTACCCGTTTTGGTAATATTGGACAAGAACCATCTCAGGGACTGGGCCGTGGGATCAGGCTCCGACAGTCAATGAACAATTAGGTTAGGGTTGGTCTAACCCAGTTCAGTCCCAGCTAATCATGGGCTAGGCCGTGTTGCTAGGTCTTTAAAGCACATACAACCTAGCCCCTTAAGGGTATACAACCTAACCCCTAACTAGCTGGGCCTAAAATGGGTTGGCCCAAGACTTAACCATCTCCTCATACACAAAGACCGGACAACCCAATTTCATGTCACATCAAATGGATCTTATGACTACTTGCACTTAACATAAAGAACCCAATATTACCAAAACGGGTAATGAACTTTGGTTTTTTTCCATATTTAGGTAACCATGTTTTTTTTCGTACATATTTGCACAGTAAACTTGTTTGACCTGTTCATAATAGGGTAATGTTACTGCTAATTACTAGTCATGTTACCTTATTTTGAACAGGTCAAACAAGTTCAATGATCAAATATATACGAAAAAAATATGGTTACCTTAATGTGAACAAAGACTAAAGTTCGTTACCTTTCTAGTTCATTAACCGAAAGCCTTTGCCAAAAAGAACAAACCAAAAATTCAATGAGTAAGATTATTGATCAAAGTGAATTTATTTCAAATTGCTTTTTTATAATATTTGGGAAGCGCAAAAGAATTGAGGATCCAGGCTCCTGTAACTTTCCCAATTCCTTTCACTATTTCAGCATCAAACCTTATTTTGATACCCTTCTCCGAATCTGCAGCCCTCGTTTCACTATACACTGGGACTCCCCTCAAATTCCTTCATTTTGCACGTTCGGTCACTCGTCAATGGCGATCATAACAGAGGAACAAGACTCATCAAACTCTTCTGCAAAAAGACCGACCAAAAAACCCAGGCTGAAACCACCTTCTACTGCACCCATATCATCAAATCCAAACCCTTTCACTTTCTGGTTCTACTTAACCATCTCAGTCTCTCTTGTAACAGTTATTTTCGTCACAATTTCCTCTCTTTCCATCCAACAAGACTCGAAAGCATGGTTCCTTACACTACCCACAAATCTCAGACACCATTACTCTAATGGCAGAATTATAAAAGTCCAAGCGACTCCTCACAGTGATTCAATTGAAGTCTTCACTGTCCGAGATGGCCCAATAGATTCGTCACATAATGTGCTAATTGTACATGGGTTAGGTTGTAGTTCATACATTTTCAGTAACGTTGTAAAGTCCCTAGGCAAAAAGGGCGTACATGCCGTAGCCCTAGATCTCCCTGGTTCTGGGTTTTCCGATAAGTTCGTAACGGTGGTAGAACATAAGCCGATGGGGGGTTTCGGGAGGCTCGTTGAGATGTACAATGAGATCAAAGAAAAAGGCGTCTTTTGGGGGTTTGATCAATTAGTCGAGCAAGGGTATGTGAATTACGACCACGAAGAAAATGAGATCCGTATGTCGAAAGTAGAACATCTGAATGCGATTGAATTAGGTCCTGAAGAGATGGGTAGAGTTTTGCGACAAGTAATCGACACAATGGGTTTGAAACCAGTTGATTTGGTTCTTCACGATTCAGCATTCGGATTAGGAGCAAATTGGGTGGCTAAAAATCTAGGGTTTGTAAGCAGTGTAACCCTTCTTGATAGCACATCAAATCAAACTGCTTTTCCTTTATGGGTTTTGAAATGGCCAGTTGTTAGAGAGGTTGTTTTGGGTTTTGGTTTCGTTTTTCAGAAGGTTATTCAAACCTGTTGTTTGAAATCAGGTGGTTGGTCTGATTCAGAGAGCCATAGACTTCTTTTGAAGGGTAGAAATGGAAGGAAATCGGTTGTTGGAATGGGGAAGAAGATGAATTCTAGTTTTGAAATTGCAGAATGGGGTGAACTTGAAGGTGTGAAAGATTTACCAATGCAAGTGCTTTGGTCGGAAGAGTGGGTGGAACAGGGGCGGCAAGTCGCCGGAGTTCTTTCTCAGGCGACTTTTGTCACACATTCTGGTGGTCGCTGGCCACAGGTGAGGATACCACAGTTTCCCTTTCAATTTTTTTTTAAACTTTTCAATAGAATTAAGAATCCAAACGCAATTTCTCAAATCTGTTGTTTAAGTGAATATCTGGTAAAATGCGACAATCTTTAAAATCAAATTAGTGTTTTTGATTACATTTTTAGTGTTGTACACTGCTAAAATGGTATGATCTTTCACTATTTATTTCTTTAGCCACTAAACTGTTATTTTTTTTTATTGATTTAGCCACTCATCTATTATTTTTCATCAATTTAGCCATTGAACTATTAATACAATAATCATAAGCAAAACAATAGTTTCAATGGCTAAATCGATAAAATGCTGAAACTATTAATACAATAATCATAAGCAAAAAAATGTTTTTTCTTTTTTTCTTTTTACCATTTTATAAAACAATGTTTTACTTTTGTACCAATTTATGGAACTAACATGTTATCAATAAAATGTTGCATCTCTTGGTCATCTTACTGCATATTTCCAATAAAAAGACCATTTTGTTGCATAAGTTGATAAAAATGTAATGGAAACAGAATCTTTGTTCCTAAAATAAAGAGTTATTGTGTTCCTTCTAACTTTGACAATACTTGATGAGAGTGCAGGAAGATACTGCTGAACAACTGGCTGAAAGTATTCATGAATTTGTATCCAAAATACCAAAGCCCATCAAAGTCGCTGAGAAAAAAGAGCCAATTCCAGAACATATTCAAGAAATACTTCATGAAGCTATATCCAATGTTCACCATGGGTTCAGTAGCCATGACCATGGTCATGATCATGATCATGGATATCCAAGTGGTTATGGGCTTGGTCATGAATACAGTTAAGATTTTGAATAGTTTGTCATTGGTATGAGTGTTTATTTGGTTTTGGTGATTGTTGTATAAGAATTGATAGCCTTTAGTTATAAGTGTAGTGTGTATGGATTTGAAATCTTGTAAGAATGTTGTCGCCATTTTTTTCTATTGGCACCTTGAATGGTTAGCAATTGTCAGAAATGTCCCTGAAATTATGTGGATTTTAAAAAAAAATTTGCAACATATTTTTATTATTGTTCATCAACTTAAGTTATACTTTGGTAATACTTTTTGTACATGAGATGTCTTACTTACCCGCCTAAGTTTTAATATATGAAAAGATAATAGTATCTTCTCAGTTCTTGTTGTGATATGAGAGAGATAGAGAAAGATGATGTTATTAACTTTGAGAGCACTCAAGTTTTTTACTAAACAACTCTGTTTTATTTCATATGATCAATGATTCTTATTATAAACAATATTATATATGATACGGCAAATAAACTAATTATTGTTAGTCAATGACACTTATGACAACTATTATTACAGATGACACATATCTAAGCTAGTCTATAATAATACAAACACTTATTACACATGCATATTTCTAGGACGCATACAACATCTATTATTTACATGTTGGCAAAATATCACCATACAATTATTACATTTTAATAGATTGTGCTTAAACAATTGTTGTTTGTTTACTTCTTATCTTCTCCATTATTACAAATGATAAAGCTTGATAATTGTATCTAATAATTCCTTATTGTATGATTGTCTTCAAACGTCATTGTTTATGGTTGCTTGAATATTGCTTATTCGTCCATCATGGGCCCTATTTATCTCTTTAAAAATAAATTCAAAAAGAAATACATGTATAATAAAATTATTAAAAAAAATTAATAAGGACATAATAGTCTTTTTAGATGAGAACAAGACCAAACATGCAATAAAAACATACAATAGTTAAGAAAAGCAGGTTAAGGACCAAATATGCAATTTACCCAAACGAAAGGACCATTGTGTAATTGTTGTTATTATTATTATTATTATTATTATTGTTATTATTATTATTATTTGCCCTTCGTACGTTGATCTAGTCGATTAAGTGAAGTCGCAACGTCTGTGTACTTGGCTAATGCAAATCGACGTCGTTTCCTCTCAGCCCTAAATCCTAAGTCGTTGTTCATCGTTAACTGAAGGGCGGCTTCATCTCCTTCCTAGAGGCTAGAGTCGCCAATGACGTTCATCTTCTTACCGATTTTACGAATTCAAGGCAAGGAGCAAGACAGGTAACAGTAACTTCACTTGCTTATTCACATGACTCTTATCGAAACCTGGATAAGCTTGATTTCATGTCAGCTGCCAAGATTCTCTTCACCACTCCCCCTAAACACAACAAATTTGGGTATCATTTTTTTTTTCACTTTTATTCCCACATTTTTATATGAAGCTCATCTTATTCACTTTATAAAAAAATATATCTTTCTATTATAATTATATTTGGGTTTCATTCAGCTTTTGTTATGTTAAAGGTTGTGTTTGGCTCGCCACATCTAGCTTATTTTTCAAGACAAAATGTAGCTGATAAGATAAGCTAGCTTTTTTAAAAGCTACTTCGACTAGATTTTTTTTTTCTTCAACATACCTTTAATTAGTTATAAAAAACATATTCTACTAAATGTCCTTTTATATCAGCCAGTAGCGGAGCTTGAAGTTTTGATTTGGGGGGGCCGAAAATAGAATATGTATAAAAATTGAAGAACAGGGGGGCCAAAGTCAAATTTTATAGTTTTAGGCATAATATGTAACTTTTTTTAATGTATAAGGACTAATTATTAAAAAAAAAATTAGGGGGGGCCACAGCCCCCTGGCCCTATATAACATCCGCTACTCATATCAGCTAGTTTTTACTACAACGTCATTTTTTGTCAGCTAGTCTGCCAAACACAAGATTATTTATTTTTGTAAATTAAATTACATAAATTCTCACTATATGTTGTAGAAATGTGAATAATATTGATCTTTACCTAATGTACTACAATATACTTATCAGTGTCTTTCTGATATTCTCAGGCTTGATTTTCATCTGGTTCAACTCTTCTTCGTTTGCTTACCTTCACTTGGTAAATATATATGTATATATATCTTATCTCATTAACTTCAAAATTACACATTATTAATTAATTTATTTCTATCTTTTATTGTCAGCTGTCTATTTGGTTGCACAATATGCACGTGATGAAATGAAGAAAATGGACGCAGTAAGATTCTTTCGCCATTTTTTTGACGGAATATTCATTTTTTTAATTAAAATTATGAAAATGAGTTGCAGGAATTAGAGAAGAGACAAATTGAAGAGGCGAAGAAGATGAAGGAAAAAGAAGGGAAGTATTCAACTCTAATCCACAGTTAATGGAGATGAAAGATAGACTCGATAGCTTGGAAAAAACTGTTAAGGAAATCAAATTCCAACCACGTGTAAAAGTTCAGAAGAAAATCGCGGTTTCAATAAATGAGAAAAAAGAAACAAATGACAAGTAGAGGCCAATTAAATTTCTCTGGTTTTGGGTTTTGTTTTGAGTGTGTTATGTTATGGAGTAGAGTTTTACTGTTGTAATTATTCAAGGAGTAACTTTTGGGAGTTGACACATTGAGAGGGAATTTATTTTATTCGGGATTTCACGATTTTATTACATGATATGTGTTTGGGTGTTTGGTTTTGGGGAATTTGGGAGAATATGGATGTAATTACAAAGTGTGTTTGTTTTCATCAATTATTTTTTATAATGATGCCAAGTTTTGCTTAGTGTTCCATTTATGATCAATCATATGAAATTCGTTAAATTCCTGACAATGGAATCAATTTTGACAATATTTAATTTTGTTGGAAGAAAAAAATAAATTTTTTAAACTAGTCCGGATCGAAGTAAAAATCCATTTTGACCATTTACTCTCTCTCTCTCTTTTTTTTCTAATTTTTTTAATTTTTTTATTGTTTTTGAAAATCTAGTATAAAAAATAAAACGTAAATAGTTTTTACCCCAAATTTTTATTTGATTGCAAACTATATAAAAGAAAAAAAAACTTAATATTCTTTGAAAGCACTATATATATCTTTCTTATTTGTGGATATTGTGGTCATCTTCTTCTTCGCTATTATCATCGTTTTCATACTTGATTCAGTCTTGAATGTATTACAAAAGTGTTTTAGTCTTAGTCTTACGGTTGGTTGGCATTATCTGAATTTTTAAAATGGTCTGAAATTAGAAGTTCTGAATTTTTAACATGTTTGGTTTGAACCTCTGAATTGCTGCCTTAAATTATAAAATGATTACTTATACTTCTGAATTATTTTTGTTGAATTAAATGTTTTTGTTTATAAAATAACTGAACCAACTTCTTGAATAACTATATATATATATATATATATATATATATATATATATATATATAAACACCATACAAAAGAATATAAACAATATACTCTTAAGATTATAATTGTAAAACTAGAAAATATCTTTATCATATAAAAATTAATGAAATAATGTATACAAATACAATCATATATGTTCCTGAACATGGGCATGGAAAAATGTTGATAATGTAAAGACCATAATAACAACTTGAAGTTGACCAATTAAACCAATCTAAAAATAATCATCTAATGAAGAAAATCTATTATTTGAAAATCCACTACCACATTCACGGCTAGTTTTCTGGGGCATAAACATTTTCCATTTGAGTAGTTACATATATGTATCACATAAAACCTGGTCTAAAACTCACTTTCTCTTCTTACTTCAACATTATATGCCATAAACAAACTAGAAAAGGAAATACAGTAGGTTCTTTTTGTGCTTCAAAGTCTATATTCAACTATTAACCAAATCTCCATAACACGGTTTTGAGGACAAGAAACATTACAACTTTTATCCACATCAAATTACCCAAGTGTCCTGGGTCAAAGAATCATAAAAAAAAAAAATGAGTAATCCATTGATTTCTCAAAATCTCCAACCTTAATGACATCTTGAAACACATACCTACTTATCTGCCCCCACCTAATTAACACTAAATTCTGAAGCTTTTGAGGACAAGAAGCATTACAAGTTTCATTAATTGTATATATAAACACAACTATACACCAATTCATCAATCAAACTTTAAATTTCAAAAACTTTTTAGCAAAATCAGTAAATAATTTCATCTACTTTAGGGAATAATTTCGTAAACTTTTCAATGGAGATTCCTTAACATCATAACATAACTCTATCAAGTAATTTCAGAAAAACATAAAATAATCGATTTTAGCAACAATCAACCAATAAACTCCAGATTTCATCAATGATTTCAGCAAGAGATCACTGATTTCAATAAGAAGTCGCCGATTTTATCGAATTGGGGGGGGGGGGGGGGATTAATTTTTATCGGATTTCAAACTTGTTATTGAAATTCCTTATTTTTTGTTCTAAATCCGGAATATACTTTTGTCGTAAAAATTACTTTTGATTTGATATAAAATAGTATGGATCATCTGGAAAAACTTGGCTATTTAACAAAAAAACTAGATTATGTTCTTATATTTTAAAGACAAAATTTCACAGATGGTCCTTAAACGTTTCCTTTTGTCCTTAAAATAGTACATGTGAAACAATTTTTGCATGGATTGTCCCTACGGAGAAAACCTTATACATAAATGGTCATTCTAGTTTTAAATTTGTCCCACTACTGGTCCTTTTAATTAACTCTATTAATATTTTCAATTAACCCCATGTGAAACTTGTTGGATTAGGTGTCTAAGCCCATAACTATAATTGGTATGTACTTGATTTGATAGTAGCATGATCCTTTTGGGTTGCCTTCACTAATGCAACTTGACAGAATGTCAAGTAGAGAGAGAGAGAGAGTAGGATTTATTATATGAATAATAAATTGGTACTCAAAATGGTTTTATTAATATATTATAAGATTAATATATTATTTGGAAATCATATTATTAATTAGTAATTAATTAGAAATTAATTTAACATTAATTTTGGGATTAAAGGAACTGATTAATAATAGAGGGGTTGTTTTGCAAATCATTGATAGTTGCAAACTGGGCTATTAGACTCCTTAATTAGGAGTGGACGAAATCTTATATTAAGGCCCTATAGATTTCGTCCATGGCCTAATGGGGAGGAGTCCATGGGCTACTTAGGCCTTAAGCAAGGAATTAGGGCTTCCACCTGAAAACACTAGCAACCACAACTATAAATAGACCCTCATACTTGGTAATATCGGCACCGTACTTATGAAACCCTAGAGTAGCCGATTTTCACCTCTGTCCATCTTCATCCTTTGCATTGGGTGTTTGTGACTCCATTAGATGAGCAACACTTGGGGCACTAGACTTTCAGAAGTTAAGATCAAGCAAGGATTGTTCTTGTTATTACTACATAACAAGTGAGATAATGTTCAAACCCTAATTTTATATATGAATTTCGAATTATATATGCTATATCTAGGGTTATTGCTTTGGAGTTTGTATTTACATGTTCAATAGAGAAAAACTTAGATCCAAAGCAAGAGGGTTGCATGATCACATAGGAATGTAGATATGCTAAAAACTCATCAGTGGTATCAGAGTCTAGGATGTTTTTCAATTGAATTGATGCAAGAGTGAACTGTCCAAAGAACAAGAAATCGAATTTTTGGCTGTATGACACATGAACTCGACGAGTCCATGATGAACTTGACGAGTCCATGATGAACTCGAGAAGTTTAGAGCCCAACTCGACGAGTTGACTCGTTTGTTACCTAAAATTTCGATTTTCAGATCAGATTTTGATTTGGATAATTACCATAATTCGTTTTTATTGCCTAAAATCGATTTTTCTGATTGGTATCATCATATCATTATCAAAATTAAAAGATTTGGTTAAATATATAACATAAGATTATTTTGATTCAAAGATTTAACCTAGTTTTTGAAAAGTTTCAAAATGCACCCTTTGGTTTTATTGTTTGAATTTGAAATTAAAAGTTTTAATTTTTGGAAATTTAAATAGTTAATCCCTAGTATTTTTGAATAGTTTAAAAATATACCCTCATGGATTTTATTAAATTAATTAAGTGTTTAATTAAAAGAGAAAATTAATAAATCCATAATCTGGTTTAAATTTAATTAAATTAAAAAATTAATTTATCAAATGATTAAACCACTTAGTATTTTAAAAGTTTAAAATACACCCTTATACTATATAAAATTAAAAGTCTAATATATTATATATGTATAAGAGAAAAGTCAGTCTTACCGTTAGTAGACCTCATTCACGAAGCTGGTCTATAAGGGGTGTTTAAGGAAGCGGCCTGTAAAATGACCACCATTGGGTATCCACTCTTACCCACCGCACTTTTGACTAGTGGAGGGTCGTTAGCCGAACGAGTAGGATAGGACATTAATCCTCATTAAAAGTATAATAAAATATAAAGTAACTAAATGCTTTTATAAATTCCCAATCTTAGTTACTTTAGGTAAAATGTGAATTTGATGCTAACCTATGAAATTGCACATTGCACCTTATTGGTCGTTAGTGGAGCGTGTGTGGTTAACCGACACACTAATATGAGACTAATGAAGGATGACAATGGGTAGCTCGTAAATTATCGTTGATCGATGGAGCGTGTGTGGTTAACCGGCACATTAATTAGATGATAAATGACATCGATAGTACCTAGCTAATTTGCATGGTTATTCACACCTTGTTTATGATCCTCGATATCCCAGTCACAAACTTGAAGGGCATAATCGAGATTAAACATGCCATTGAAAAGTTCAATGAATCTCAAACGATCTGGGAATTTCATCTAAAACCTAATTCGTTTAATATTTCGTTTTCGTGGTGGAATTGGTAAATCGTCATTTACCTAGCTTCAAATAATTTGCAATTAGATTACGACATCCCTCTTTTGAATTGTAAATTATTGTGTTGGGTCCTAGCCTTAATATTTCATTCGTGTGTCATATTAAGGATTAAATCAACTCACTTGAATTTCTCCCTTTTGTAGATGTCTAGTTTTGACAACTATAGTATTCCTTATCCTTTTGGAAAAAGCTTTCCTCATGAAGATGATATTCCCCGTGTCGATCAAGGTGAAAGATCAATCCCTTCTTCGTGCAATGGTGGAACTAGAAATCATACTTCTCTTCCTCCACCTCCTCCAATGATTCTCCCTGACCCACGTTTTCGTCGACTTGAAAAGTTCAAGATTACTCAAGCCCTATTGGCATACAAGCATCGAGATGGAAGTTTTGTGTGTGCACATGTCCTCGAGATGAAGTTGCACATTGACAGACTAGGAATGTTGGGTGTCATTTACCCAAGGAAGTTGGCTGTTGACTTGGTTCTTCAATCGCTTCCTGAGTCATAT